TTATGTAAATTATTTAATTATTTGCTAACTGAAGAAGACTCTGTCTAGTCGAAACGTATTATGTATGAGAATTGAGTGATTTTGTATCACAAATATATATATTTTATTATAATCTAACTTGCTTGCTCGTTTTGGTCGATTTCTATTGTTGCTTTGTAAAAATAGGGTACCTTTTAAATCCGAAAAAAACTCATAATTGGTGACATAATAATGAATTCTTTTGAGACCCTTAGAAATAACTTTTAGAATAGAAATGGAATAGAAAAATTATTCATTTTGTAAACCGGAAAAGAAAAAAGAATTTTTGAATTCTCTGCTATCTGGGAGTATATAAGATTTTAACTTTTTGTTTTGCTGATTTACAATATTCTAGCGGTGTAATACTTGTTTGACATAATAACTACAGGACACATATTATGAAATAGATTTCGATCGTAATAATTTCGATTTCCTTGCAAAATACAATAGAAATCTAAGCAATAATTCCATCGGAATCTATTCGGAATAATTCCATAATACGTATCGTGAAATATTGAATTCTGAGATATTTACCAATCAAACTAATAATAACACAACTGAATAGTACTTGTACGAGCAAAACGAAACTCATTACATCGGACAAAAGTTCCGCAAGCTCTATTAAATAACGATGTCTTAGTGTCAATATTGAAAAATATTCATTTATGTTTTTGCTTTTCATGCCATAGTTAGTAAACTCGATTTTTAGAAGTTCCAATTGACCGCAAACGTGGAGAGTGATTGCGAGGAAAAGTGAATCATTACCTTTATAAATATATTTCAATGTTGCATTAAAATATTTTACATTGAAAATTTTTAATTAATAGAAAGATTATCACAGTTAAGATCTTCTGAAAAAGTGATTTAAAAAAATATAAATGATATTACGTGTAGCAATTATAGAAAAAACAACTACGATATCTATTAAAAATAATGTCTATTAAAAAGTATTTGGAAGTTTAATGCATAGTGTGTATACATAATATAAATAAAAATGACGTTTTTTTAATTAGACATCAAGTCTAATTTAAATGTCTGTGTTAAATAGTAAATAAAATTACTGAAATGAAAGCGTAAACATTAGGAATTTTATTAATAAATTAAAAATTTTATGGAAAGTAAAATGTTTAAAATAAATTCGTATTCAACACAAAATAAATTCGTATTCGTATACAAATCTCTTTGATATTAACAGTTAGCTTATTACCGCAATTGCTGGTACCAGTAAGTAGCAGTATAAAATATTGCACCGTAGAGATTACGAAGTATAAACCCGTAGGAATTTGCAAATCCCCTAAAAATGTTATGGGCACTGGTAATTTTGCCGCTTGATTTTTAATGGATACATTCACGTGGACATCCTCATCGCCTGTTATCATAGGTGCCAGCGTAAAAATTGATGAAGCTAAATAAGTAAAAAATATAATACTGTAGCAAATCATTCTTCCCATAAATGCGTGTTGCCGCATGATTATGCGCTTCTCCTCGGTGTTAATTGTAGAATAATCGTTGACAGCAGAAGAGTAATTGCGAATCAGATTGTCAGCGTATAAGCGGAACGACAATATCTTTAGTACACAGAGAACGTTGCAGGATATAAGCATTAGATCATCGAGTTTTATATATGCATCGCTGCTACCGAAAATGATTTCGAGGAACAACATGATCATCATCACGGTCTACACAGATAGGAAGTACTGTTTATTATATAAAGCTTTATTACGGTTTTTCGTTTCCACTATATTCACGCTGCACCGAACGCTTCACTTGATCTGTCGAACTTGATATATTGAATATACTTGCAAATGAGACAGAAATTTCATTGGAATACGTAATATGAAAATTGAAAACTTACCATACTGAAGCCACACACGATAGAACGAACTAAAGAAAATGTATTATATTTTTGCAAAGGCCAGACGCCTAGTGGCAAAGTTAAGAATTTGAAGGGAGTCATAGCGTAGGCCACATCGTCATTCCATGACATTATCTCAGTCATGTAGAGCTACACGTTTCACGATACTCAATAATGTCGGTCCTAGTATGTCCATAATACGATTCGATCATCGGAAATGTCCGCTTTTATGTTCATATTTTATTGAAACTGCTCAATTTAACATTTACTGAAGTATACCTTGTTATTTTTCAAAACACGGTTATTTTTTAAAGAAATTATTCATATGTATAGTGGGGCAAAAATCGAATGGATGGAGGGGGTTCATTTTTCTTCCAGTTCATCATGTTGCATTGATCGTGCTATAATGCCTTTTATTCCGATATTTTTTCATCAAAAACATATACGATTAATTCAGAATTTAGTGCATCCGAGTAGTGTTTTTAGTGTCACTAAAATTATTTAAAAGTACTTCATATTTTGCTATTGATACTTTTAATTTAGTTTGAATTAAAAAATGTATTATAATTACATTTTTATAAAAAGGTTCTATTTTATATTTGTTATTATTTCCCTAGATATCTTTAAACTTCAAGTGATGATAGATTAACTATAGGAAAAACAATTATCTGGGGAAAAAAGTATTAATGTAGGCTGGTAATGTAACTCATAATTCTATTATAATTAACATTATCTCTTGCAAAAGGCTTTTATTTGTTCTTTGATAGATATCAAAGTTGTAAAATAATTGCCTCCATGACTTTTTGTTAATAATTGTTGTTATTATAATTAATATTTATCTATGTGATCTTCTATTACACATATTAAAAAAACATTTTGATATATTGACGTTATTCAGAAATGTTTTTTTAATATGTGTAATAGAAGATCACATAGATAAATATTAATTATAATAACAACAATTATTAACAAAAAGTCATGGAGGCAATTATTTTACAACTTTGATATCTATCAAAGAACAAATAAAA